TCCTTCCGCCTCAGCCTTCCGAGTAGTTGGAACTACAGGCGTGCGCTACCACGCCCGGCTGGTTTTTGATTTATTGTAGAGATTCCTGGGTGGGGTTAGGGGTAGGGAAAGAGGTGTAGACGTGGAACACCTGCTCACAGCCCAGCATCAGCAGAGGCACTGGACCCAGAGGGACCTGCAGAGGAAGGCAAGACACAGACACAAAGGCACATGAGCATCCATTCACAGTTGCCAAAAGGTGAAAACTGCCCACATGTCCGTGGGCAAATTCAACAAAATGAGGCACATTCATATAATGGAATAGTATTCACCCAGCCAGTTGCATGTATTTTACAATAAATTTTTAAAAAGACATATGCCACTGGGCAAGGTGGTTCACACTTGTAATCCCAGCACTTTCGGAGGCCAAGGTGAGAGGATTGCCTGAGCCCATGGGTTTGAGAACAGTCTGGGCAACTTGGTGAGCCCTTGACTCTACAAAAAATAAAAAAATTAGCTGGGCAGTGGCGCGTGCCTGTAGTCCTAGCTACTTGGGCAGCTGAGGCAGAAGCCTTGCCTAAACCCAGGAGGTCGAGGCTGTGGTGAGCTGTGATCGTGCCATGGCATTCCAGCTTGGGCGACAGAGTGGGACCAAGACACAAAAAAAGAAAGAAAGAAAAGAAAAGAAAAAGAAAACATTAGCTATGCCCACTGCTCCCTGACAGAGGGCAGTCACCCTTTGCGGGGGCATCAGGGCAGGGTAGGCTCCCTCCCCATGCATGACCCGCTCCCACAAAGTGGGGTGCCTTGGACCCCATCAGCTCCTGCACCACCAGCACAGGCCCCCGGGGTAGGTGCTCAGAGATCAGCATCTGGCCAAGGCTCTGTGCCTTGTCTGGGTGGTGTATCCACCCTGGCTCGTGCTCCTGCTGGTCACAAGCACCCCATATCACCTACTGAGCCCCCTGTCCCAGACACCTCAAATCAAGAGGAGTGTCCTGTGCTTCAGGAGCCTGAGGGGTGCCAAAGTTCCCAGGGGACGACCGGTGACAGGGAGGGCCTCTGGCAGAACTCCATACGGACCAAGGCCCTCAGAGTCCCCAGTCCCCAGTTTCTGTGTGAATTCAGTGGCACTCCAAAGGCCAGTGGTCCCATCACCCAGCCCATGGCTGCGAGGCTTGCCAGCTCTTCCCGACTTCCCTCAGGTGCCCAGACTCACAGCCAAGAGGACCTTTGCCCATGAGGGTCGCAGGTAGTGAAAACCCTCCCATGAACTTGGACTTCAGTAAGGAAGTCGGCAGGATCCCTGCGGCCGCTGCTCATCACGTGCACGGTTCAAGACCAAGAGGGCTCTGTGCGAGGCCGTGCTGGTTGACAGATGTCCTGCTGGTGTCGACAGTCCCAAGTCCCACTGGCAATCAAACCCGGGACTGCCGCCGGGTCGCTCAAAATTAGGATGTAATGCCCTCTAGAGGCCGCGGGGTCACATGGTCCAGGAGGAGGCTTGGAAGGGGTGGGGTGAGGTGGAGGGAGGACCCACGACAGGCCAACCTCGAGGTCAGAGGTCCGTTCAAGGTCACGGGGAGTCGGGGCTCAGGCGGAGACACATTCAAGTTCCCTGCACTCGGCCGCTTGGTGTCCTGCGCAACCTGTTAATTAAAAAAAAGGAGAGCAAAAGCCTCACACTCTCGTCCACACAGGACTGATGAGACTGACGCATCAGGGTCCAACATTTGCGGAAGTCCCTTCCGGGGCCTTTGGAGGGGTCCCAGTAATGTATTCACGTGGTCATATGTGTTTGTAAAATTTGCACAAGAGAACCACGGGACCGGTCATAGGTTAAGACTGTCGTCTCTTCCTACGGGGACTCTTCCTCTGTCACACTCCCCCTGGGAGTTCTGGAGCTTTGGAGAGGCTGAGGGCCTTTAGGATCTGGCAAGAAGAAGTTGAGTTGGTGACACAGTGTGGCTTTTTTTTTTCTTTTTTTTGAGTTGGAGTCTCACTCTGTCGCCCAGACTGGAGTGCAGTGGCCGTTCCTGGCCACCGCAGCCTCAACCTGCTGGGCTCCGGTGATCCTTCTGCCTCAGCCTTCCAAGTAGCCAAAATTATAGGCATGCACTACCCCGCCCGGCTGATTTTTTGATTTATTGTAGAGATGAGGTCTCGCCTGCCCAGGCGGGTCTCAAACCCGCGGACTCAGGCAATCCACTCACCTCAGCCTCCCAAGGTGCGGGATTACAGGCTGAGCCACTGAGCCCGGCTTTTTTTTTTTTAAGTCAGGATCTCACTCTGTCTCCCAGGCTGGAGTGCAGTGGCACCATCTTGACTACCGTAGCCATGACCTCCTGGGCTCAGGCGATCCTTCCTCCTCAGCCTCCCAAGTAGCTGGGAGTACAAGCACACACCACCACGCCCAGCTAATTTTTTGATTTTTTTTGTAGAGACGAAGTCTTGCTGTGTTGCCCAGGCTAGTCTCGAACTCCTGGGCTCAAGCAATCCTCATGCCTCAGCCTCCCAAAGTGCTGAGATTACAGGAGTGAGCCATGCACCTGGCGTTAGTGTGACTTTAATGGGATATGTTTCCACATACAGTTTTTTTGTTGTTGTTGTTTTTTTGTTTTTGAGTTGGAGTCTCACTCTGTCGCCCAGACTGGAGTGCAGTGGCCGCGCAGCCTCGACCTGCCGGGCTCCGGCGATCCTTCCGCCTCAGCCTTCCAAGTAGCCGGAGTTACAGGCACGCGCTACCACGCCCGGCTGATTTTTTGATTAATTGTAGAGATGAGGTCTCGCTGCCCAGGCGGGTCTCGAACCCGCGGGCTCAGGCAATCCACTCACCTCAGCCTCCCAAAGGCGCGGGATTACAGGCTGAGCCACCGAGCCCAGCTCACATATAGTTATTACTGGCCATCCTGGGGTAGGAATGACTTGCAGGAATAATCTGACTGCCCACCTGGCATGATGGCACTGTGCACTGCAGCATCTGGGACACAGCTGGTGGTGGAGAAACAAGGTTTTCAATGTACAAAGCCAGAAGCTAGTCTGTGGAAATCTTCCAACCATCAAATGCAAAAACTTGTAAGTAGATCAAAACAGAAGATTTCCCTGTCAAGAATATAATCAATCAATAGCCCAGGCACAGTGGCTCATGCCTGTAATTCCAGCACTTTGGGAGCTGTGGTGGGAGGATCGCTTGAGCCCAGGAGTTCAAGACCAGCCTGGGCAGCATAGCAAGACCCTCTCTCTTAAAAAAAAGTATTATTATATATTAATAAATATAGACAGAGGGTAACAAAAAAGCATACAATTTTAAGAAAGGAAAACTATATTAAAATTGTAATATTCAATATATATCGATAACAAAAGATGAGTACATGTCACGTTTGACTCTGCAATTACAAGAGGTGCTCAAAGTGGTTACCATCAGCGTCCAGACACTTCTGATTCCAGCAAACTAAAAGTAATACACAGATAACATCACTTAAAATGTCTCTACAGGGCAACCTCTTCAGGTCCCCTCCCACTATGCGAGATTTTCTGTCCTCTCAATAAATCCTGCTTTCTTTCTTTTCTTTTCTTTTTTTTTTCTTGAGTTGGAGTCTCACTCTGTCACCCAGACTGGAGTGCAGTGGCCGCTCCCGGCCCCCGCAGCCTCGACCTGCTGGGCTCCGGCGTTCCTTCCGCCTCAGCCTTTCGAGTAACTGGAATTACAGGCATGCGCTACCACGCCTGGCTGATTTTTTGATTTATTGTAGAGATGAGGTCTCGCCAAGTTGCCCAGGCGGGTCTCGAACCCACTGAGCCCGGCTTCATTTTGTAAACTATTCATAATAAAAACCAAATTTCCGTCAGCCATGCTAGAAGAAAGGCAGAATTATCTTCAATCCTCTCAGGAGAAAATATCATAAAATTATTGTCATACAAAAAGGTGACTAGCCGGGCTGGGTGGCTCAGCCTGTAATCCCGCACCTTTGGGAGGCTGAGGTGAGTGGATTGCCTGAGCCCGCGGGTTCGAGACCCGCCTGGGCAGCGAGACCTCATCTCTACAATCAATCAAAAAATCAGCCGGGCGTGGTAGCGCATGCCTGTAATTCCGGCTGCTCGGAAGGCTGAGGCGGGAGGATCGCCGGAGCCCAGCAGGTCGAGGCTGCGGTGGCCGGGAGCAGCCACTGCACTCCAGTCTGGGCGACAGAGTGAGACTCCAACTCAAAAAAAACAACAAAAAAAGGTGACTAAAGAGTACGCAGCCGGGCTTTCATCTACACATTTAGCATGTAGGTAGGAGAGAGCACCCAGAGATGTTGATTCCCAAGGGATTTGACGACGGAGTCTGGTCTGGAATGGAATTGTAGTCTTAGGCCAGAAGCTTAGGTTTTAGAGCAGAATAGTGGGTATCGGGAGTCGGTTCAGGGCCAGAAGCGAGCACCAGAGTTTGGATCCCGGAGAAAGTTCCACGTCGAGGGTGCTGAGGACGCCTAGGTCTCTTTCCCAGGGCCATGGCGAACTCGACGCTGCTGGCACCGGAGCTAAGCGAGGCAGAGACGGTGGGTGCCGATACGGCGCGATTCGAGGAGCTGCTGCTGCAGGTGCAGAGTGACCGGATTCCTGGATCCTGGCGTATTCGGGATTTTTTTCCGGGGGGGCGGGG